AAATACTACATTTCATACTATTTTAACTATTATATAAATACTAATTTTTTGTACAGTCTTCCTCTTTATACAAAATTCCCTTCGAGTTTCTGTTCTTCAGCTTTTTTCTTTACTTGCTATTTTTGTGGGTTCTAATTAGCAAAAATCATGTCTATCTGGGGAAAATGAGATGATAATAATAAGAGGTTAATCATCAATTCAAAGTTTAGTATTCTCCGGATTTTTGATGGTTTTGTTTTCGTTCGATTTTTAAAAGAATCATCTTTTTGCATATCACGTGTCAAGTTATATAAATTTTTTAATAAACTAAAATTTAACTCTTCGAATACTAAAATTCGTAGTAATTTTGGCTAGAATTAACATTAACTTACTGAATATGTATTGCAAGCAAAATGTCACAATCCACGCGTGTCATCGGCACATTCCCTATGGTTTGTGCAAATATGCTAGGAAGAGTGCTAACGTTTATCATTACAAACAGCGATCAGGTGCACCAAATCGGGAACTATGCATTAATTCCGGGATTACGCGATTTTTATGTTGCTACGGAAACACTGGAATGGGGAGTTATTATTTTTATCGCACATACTAAAATCGTATCAAACTGATTAAACATCGATATTTAATAAAAAAAAGTCATTTTTTTCTGGTTTTCATATGATTGAAAAAATAGATATATAAAAGCTTATAATGTTGCATCATGCCCAACAAGAATAAATATTTGACCGTTCCTTGAACAAAATGTAGCATTTCTAAACCTATTCCAAGTATGAAAATAAATCAGATTCTTGTGGTGATCCAGGACACGGGGGTGATGGATATGATTTCTCCGCATATGCTTCTGCACACACTTTAGCCTTCTTCGGAGTTGATAAGCATGAAAATATTCGGTGCTCGTTTTTGTCTAGAGGTCGCTTTCGACACCCGGCTCTTTTAAATGATTCGACTGTTTGTTTTTTAGCTTGAACCGTCTTTATCGTCTCTCGAACCACCGCCTAAAATTCATGAATATATCAGCTTATATTAATACAAGCATACATCGTTTTGTGAAAAGCATGAATTTAACTAACCTTTATAATCAGAACAGATGCAAAAATTGTAAGGATGGAAGGGAAATCTTCTGCATTATCAGGAACTTCCATCAGTTCACGTCGAATCCTGCAGATGTAGCTCTTTGGGTTGTCTAGGTAGACCGTCATAATCATCAAACCTATAGATTACATTAGTTAATAGCAAGAATCTGGTGAATTCTTACAGGCACAAAGAGAAGCACACCATCGCGAATTATTCCAACCGTTTGAATTTTCGCACATATCTCTTCATCCCACTTTACTTTTGCCATCAATTTTATTAACATATCCTTGAGTGTCTTAGGTAACTTTAATCCCGCCTTCTTGAGAAATTTCATTCCACTTTCATCGGTCCAACTTTTTCCGGCTTTCCCAGCTCCGAACTCATCTTTATCACCATTAATAACAGACCTCAACACCCAATCAACTCTACGACCCATTTTCTGCCGTTCTCCCGACAGTCTTTTTGCATTTTTTCGTGACGCCGATGCTAAGCTTCTACTTTCCCCTCTAGATTGTTAAAAGAAACTTTGTCAGATACGTCAAAGTAAGTTACATTTTTCAAAAGAAAAATTACCTTACAACGGATATTGCATTTAGATCTCCAAAAGCTTGGTCAAAGATCACGTTCCATACATGACAATTGAACCAGGTTTCAAGATTTTCATCTTTCAAACTTCCGCTCTGAATTTCCCTTACCAAAAATACTTACAATGCATAAAGAGCGAAGATTATATAATCTGTGTCGTGGTGCTTTTCATGGTCATAATTAATACCGAACATCAAATTTCTTATGCTCTCTCGAATTTCGTTTAAGCTTTTCTACAACCAGAAAAGAGGTTGATAACTATTGTGATATGCTTATATTTGTCAGTTAAGGTATTACCTTATCAAGGAATTTGCTTAAAAAATTAATTCCATCATCCGAAAGCTCTGGTACATGTGGACCAGGGACGCAGTCAATTTCATTTAGTTCTGCCTCGTTAAAATGTTAACTAATTATCTCGTCATCGACATCTAAAATGAACGAATGCATGAAAACTGCAGTTCAGTACAATTCTTTTTACATAACACAATTACAGCATAAGAACCACGTAGATAAACATTAACTGTTCAAAGTTTAAACTTTTGCCTAATTTGAACAATTCTTCCTCGACATATTTTCCCGTTGAAAGTCTCCACATTCTGCTCAATCTCCTGTCGGTGTTCCTCAGTGAGGGGGAACGGACCCGTCTACGTGGCTTTATGTTAATTTTTCAAATATCAAAACCTGGGAATTTATGAAAAAATTACTTTGTTCTCTTTTTCCACAACTTGCTCTTCCTCTTCTTTATTGTCCCAATCA